AACGACATATGCCTTTCGAGACTCGAGTATCTCTCGTATACCTTGATGCAACCTTCATTTGGGCAGGAGAACAAGACAGAAGCGTCTTTCGTTTCTTCTATTGTCATCGTTTCATTGGGTCTTGGCTTCTTTGAGGCTTCCTTGGATGCTTTTACAAAGTCACCAGGGGAAAATCGGCAAGTAAATTTGCAGCTTTGCAAGACATCAGCAACTAAAAAAGCGAACATTGAAATGGAAGTCTTTTTTAATTTCAGATGAAGCGTTTTTCGCGTCTTTTAAAGGTTTGTTAATTTATCATGTACACAACTGACTGAGTTGTCTATAGTAGCCATTAGTATAGACTCTCTCATACTCTGTTAATGTTGCCCGTTATCCGTAATTATTAGCGGACTAAGTCAGTGAGTATTTGCAACACTCCAATACAGTACATTTATATATCACTATGCCCGTATTTTTTTTTACCTTGAACTTTCGTTTGGCTGATCTCCCTTCCATTTCCGACGTTGAAAGCTCTCCAAACTGTCAACTTGTCTTTGCAGTACTCAAAGTTGTTTAACGTGCTGATACCATCAAGTTTGACTTGAGGCAGTTCACAGGCAGAAACGGCAGCATTAACAACAGTAACGCGAACCCCGGTGACACCCCCATTAGACAGGATAGCTGTTTGAAGCTGTTCAGCATTTTGCACGTCGTGGCCCTCATTTACATACCTGCGGACATGGGCCTTGATAGTGGCGGCTTTTCGGTCACAAGCCCCCTTGCCTCCTTGAGGGTCACTGAAATCTACTCTGCAAACGTCTATCCCAGTGTTTGCCTTCATTAGGGTGCATGATGCTAGCTATTACAGCAGAACTGTGATAACATCCCGCGTTATCTTGCCGTAGAAATGCTCTGTTGATTCTAGGATTCTCCTCTTTCAGCGACCTTAAGGTGTGCTCAATAATTCGCACTACAACTGAGCTGTCTTGTGATGTATTCTCAACTATGTGGACGAAGGACTGACTTTCTAAAAGCCCTCTCATTTTTCTTGCGATGACACTTATATGCCACGATATTCCTCGTTTCCCGTACCAATCTGATTGGTTTTCTCTATATTTGAGCGGTAAAAACTTCATAGCCCAATCTTGTGTTATGAGTACAGAGGTCTCATCTAAAGCGCTCAAGCACGCCGTCCTTGCTGTATCTTGCCTGACACACCTGAGTTGATGTGCTTTCCAGGAGTGGATTGCCTGGACTGCATGACTATGCGTGTACAAGACGTCTTCTAGTTCTTCAGGTACAAACGTTGACTCAGTCAAGAATGTTTTCATTGAAAAAAGAACATTACTGAGACTTTCACACTGAGAACACTGAATGTCATGATTATGAGAGCATTGGGATCTTAGTTCATCGTCCTTACTATCGCTGAGAGCGTATCCGCTGCAATGGTCTGCAACCGAGGAGGACTCGGATACATGAACCTTCAAAAAAGACAAAGTAGTAAATTTAGCGACCGTTTGAAGTTTCTGAGCTTTCATCTATTGTACGCGCAATATTTTTGCCAAGTTTGGTTAAAGCAATTAGAAAATATGAATCTTTGGCAGAATAAAGTACACACCTAGCAAGGCGAAGACGGTCGCCAGTATAGAGAGCGGTGTTCTTTTGCCCAACAATAGTATAATTAGTTTGGAAAAGAACCCACCTGATTTAATTAAGCCCTCACGACAAAGTTAACAGATTTTGCCATTTTGCCAGTCTCGTGGCAGTTCGTTATATATTCCGGTTTACTTTCAGTTAACCATGTTTTAAACCGTATCTGATACCTTATAATCAGCCTTCAGATACTGCTTGCCTTCCCTCAGAGACACTTCCCATTTTTTGGCAGTCTCTCTGTCCAGACCTCTCTCTTTAAGTTGGTCCACTATTCCACACAAAGCTTCAAACCCTTTCGCGCCATCCGAAGCAATGTAGTCGAGCCCTTGCAAGGACTTCCTTACGGTCGCCCCGCAGGACTCTTAACATTGTTGTTGGGCTGAATGGAGTGAAATTCGTCTCCTCGCAATAAGCCTGGTACTGCTTTACTAGCCTGTTAGGGATCATCGCCCTAATGACATTTGGGGTTTCTAATATCTTTCCAGAAGATAGGCGGAGATATCGCTGCCCAAAAGGAAGATCCTGGATAACGTGCGGGCTAGTTATGTAAGTCAAAAAGTGATCCAACTGTTTATTTTCTACTCTCATCCTAAGACTTTTTGCTCGGGCTGGCAAGGCACCCCGCCCATATTGAAGAGAGTGCTGTCTCGCCATTTTGAACCGGTATTCGGTGATCCCTGGAATGTAGTTTAGGATACGCTTAAACGTTATTAGGTCTGCCATGATTGATAATATCTGACGCCTTGTTTCCCAAGTAGATGATATGCGTTTTGGTAAGACTCCGCCAGTGCCTTTAGATATTTTCGGTCTTCTTGTCGTTCACCGATGCCAAGTACCTTCTCGACTGAGCCAGATTTTTTCACGGCCTCCCAGAGGCAGGCTGCGTCTCCTGGAGCAATAACGTTAAGGCCAGAAACAATAACTGACTTCGCCTTTGACACATGGCTTGCTCTAGTACGTTCGCTGGCTGCCTCCCATCGCTTTTTGTATGACCCGAATGTGTGAGCATTACATGAACGTAAGAAATCGTTCAACAGAGAACGTCTTTTTGCTTGACTACTAATTTGTGGATCATCGCCGTTAGAACTCTCGCTGCTGCTGCTCGCTTGAGAGTCCGTTTGATACAGGCTAGTGTCGATCTCGGAGTAGTGTCCTGATTCGTCAAGCTGTGGATGAGAGTATTCGTCTCTTATGGTCAGGTGGTGCATTGACTGGCTAACGTTGTCTTCAACTTCTTTACTCTCCACATCTTCTCTCTGTACGCATTAGAAAGGAAAATGAACAAGTTAGCGCAGAAAAATTTGTAAACTCGATGTCGCCGCTGTAGAGCGAATGACTTTTTTAACCGCGTACATATCACCACTGCAATGATATGTAAGTGTTCTCGCATCAATACATGATATAAAGGAGTAGTATGCAAGGAGGCTGGGGTCATCAAAAGTGAAGGGGAGGAAAACTCGCCTTTTGCTGAACCTCACTAAACTATTAAAAGCCACTCGGACAAGGTTATAATCTGTTATGTTCATGCCATAGCTATACCATATAGCTCTATCTACCTGTGCGATATTTTGTGATACCCGCTCTTCCGGTTTGTCTACGTTAGATCCTAAAGCTTCTGTGGTCGATTCTGAGCTGGGAAATACTAATAACTGTGATGCTTCTTCCAACTTTCTCCTGCATTGCTTGCAGATTTCTGGAAAAAATAGTGGATTGCAGAACATTACTCAGAAAATCTGTGCCAAACTCTCATAGCTTCTGTTTTTGCTCATGATGCTCTTCGTTTTTGAAATATTGCAGCTATGTGTTGAAACTGTTCGGTAACACGTTTCTTGATTTAAAGATTTTAGGGGGCGGGGGTATATCCGATAATGAATTTAAAATACAAAAAATGGCAGTGGAGGAAATTGAAACTGCCATTTTTGTACGCTCTAAGCCCGGCAATGTTGTAAAATATCACTACAGGTTTAACACTCACGGGAGCCTACAGGAAGCAACACTTGGGTTTGCTGGCAGAGTAGCTTGGAATGTAGAGACGATATTCCTCTCTTCCCTGACACTAAAGTTCCATGCGATGACCATTCACTGGGAGCAGTGCATATCCTCTTATTTGAACGCCATCTAATGCCAAATTTGTCTCGACGTCTTGGGCATATTGTTAGTTCAAGGTGACTTTCGTTTAACTCAAAAATCCCTTCAAAGATAAAAAAGGTTGTAAGGTGACTTTTACTTAACAATTTTTAGCGTATATATCACAGCGTCGTTCACATTTTATTCGCTTCCTCCACGTCTTTCGTTAATTTATGCACCAAAAGATAAATCAAATGCTTTATTTTTAATTTTTCTTTGGACGTCCAGTCATCCCAAAAGCAGTTTTTGTTCCTCACTTTTGTAAAGTTCCTGTGAAACAAACAAGGCTGTAATGCTCGCGATAAATCTGAGATGGTTTATAAATGTAGGCAATATTAATAATTTTTTTAAAAAATAAACTTCTCAACGCACTGAAGTATTAATGATCAGGAATAAGTTTACATTTTGCGTGTTTACTGAGAAACACGGAGGCTTTTACTTTTGCGTTTTGGCTCAGCTCAAGATGTTCTGATATTGATCTTAATTTGATTAAGTCGGCTACTGCACGGGTTAATTATCACTCATATCTTTGTCAGTAAAATTCATTCTTGAATAATACGCTATGTGTTTTAGGAATATGCCTAAAAATATTTTAGCGTTGTAAGTTGCAATCATGGCCCTTAATTAACGGGGAAAAAATTGTATATGAAATGCAGTAAAATGAGAAGTACACGACATTAAACAATCAAAGCAGGTGCTGAGCGTCACGCTTCATTAAGCCTTCCTTTCAAGTCATTTTCCGCGTTACCCTTGTAACTAAACCTTGAACATCGTCCAGTTTTATTTAGTGTGTAAATTATGGAAGGCTGCAGACGTAGGAAAACTAGTGATGCTTCGATAAATTTGCGGACACCTTTCAAAATATAAAAACAGTCTGAATCAGACCACGATGCAGCTAAATTACATTTAGTTTTAGTCTCTCACCGATTCTTCTTGATGTAAAAAGATTGGGAGGCGTTTATTTTCCTTTGTTTAAATTATGCGTCTATTCTTTCTTGTTTTTTTTTTTTTTTTTTTTTAAGATGGCCTGTTTAATACAGACATCTACCTTACGTACCTGCACGTGCCAACAACAGCTTTGGTTCAGAGTCTAAACTAGCGTCTCGAATGTTGCAAGAACGTAGATGCCCTTGTATGGCTTTTGTACACTTCGCGAGGATCACGCTCTTCACATTTTCTGGATTGTCCACACTAGAACCACATGTTCCTCCTGCAATCTGCCCATACTCACATGAAGCCATTTGCAAGTACGCAATGATTGAATGAAGTCAATGAATAAACTGCACTGTACAAATTAACAGGTGCAATTAAAGAAAGTAAGAAGTAAGCCAGTGCTGCGTGCCTCTTCGGAATGCGGGCTCTTCTCAATTAACGGAGAACAACTCGATAATCCAGGAAAAAGATTTTATTTATCAGTCCAAAGCAAAAAACATTGAACTACCAAAGATGTACCGACCTCTCCGCGACCATGTCCAATCCTAGGTGTCCTGTGGCATTCAATACTTGGTCATGTTGCACGTTCAGGTGATATATGCGCTCGGCGATTTTTGTCAGGAACTTCCATGAATGCGGTTCTTTCTATCCAAGAAAGCATCGCTGAGATAAGACATAGTAGTCAAGTACCTCGCACATTGATTTACCTCGCATTTGTTGCCGCATTTGTGTTGTATCAATAGACTGGTACTAGAGAGTCGGCGGTAGACAAAACTGACATGTCTGAGCAAACTGTCTCTAATTTCCAATTTTACTATTCCAAATTAATTGTATGGCTCAAAATTTAAAAGTCAAGTATTTCTAAGTAAAAACAAACTGGTAAAGACAAAAAAACGTCATCACGCAAACAAAAGTCAGAGCTCATGGCGTTTATTTCCATGAATATTAAAGGTCAAAGGTCACTCATAATTGATAAAATGACCTGTTTTGAAATCGCTCTCAGAACTCGCCGTTTCATTTAACCCAATTTTTTTTTTCATTAATGTTTAGTTGAAATGATAATGTTTCCTCGTAGTATAGTTTTGTTGGTCAAAGCGATGTACCAGAGTGCTTTTCTAGGCCTTGAATTTAGCCAAAATACTGTTGTTGTAATCACCATTGAAAGGTGTAAAATTAGAAAATCTGTCAAATTTTCACGTTTACATTTTATTTGCATTTGACGACACCGATAATCTGACGAAAGAAGATAGTTTGATTTACTTGGTTAATCTTTTTAAGAAAGGTTTCAAGGTATTAATGGGAGCTTCTGCAAAAGTGCATATTTCGGCGTGATTAAAGCCGGCGTTAACGGCCAAAATTTAAAAAATTTAGTACAAAATAAGTAAAACCCCAAACGACCCGAAAGTTATATTTTTAGAAACAGTTCATCAAGGCCTTCTTTCTGGCAAAGTTTGGGAAAATCGGATTTTTCTATCTTGCATACCCTTAGTCGGTCCTTACAGAAAACCGCTCTTAAATAAAACAGTTTAAAATTATATACAGCAATTGCAACATTCATTGTTGTACCCTTCATCCATTTAATCCTCAGTTGTTTATTGCTTCTTGTCGAAGTAAGTTATGCTAAAATATCTATAAATGATAAGGAAAAGAAAAGAAATCTGTACTCACAGGAATCTTGATGTGTCCAATGGAGTTTTGTAAGCTGGTTCATGAGAGCTCAGTTGAGGGGTATGGCCTAGCATTGCTTCAAGTGAGGAAATATATGGTATGACACCAGCGTTCGAAAATGAAACAATTCATGATCATCGCTGGTGTTAAAATAAATGTGATAAATTTCCGGTTATGGTAAGGTTTTAAAAACTATAAATTATAAGGAATAGAAACCAAATTGTTGTCACGGAGTTGCGTATATGTCTACAGGAATGGCCGGAGAACGAGTGTTTTGGAAGCATAGTTATGGAGGCATAACCTAACTTGAAGTAGGGATAAATATAGCAAAGCATAGCATAGCAAAGCGTGACGTCAATGTTCGAAAACGAAACAATCATTCTTTGGCAGCCTATCAACATCACGTCGATTTACGTTACAGAAATTGTTTGGCCTTTTCGGTTCGCAGAAGTTGCTTTTCTGGAGGAGAGGAGCGATCCCCCACCCCCCACCGGCCATGCATTTTTTCTTTAATTTCAACAAGTGCCTTTATTAAAACGTGCGACACAAGTGTAGTTTTAAAACTACAATGTTTAAAAGTTCAAGCAATTGTTCGGTGGTTATTATTTCAGTTTCAAAGCAGTTGTCTAATGGATATATTAGGGTTGGGAGGCCCTCCGACACCTTCGCCATGGATCGGCCACTAACCTAGAAAAAGCAACAGGTTTAATAAATTGAATAAAGCGATTTTCGTATGACCTTGAAAAATGGTTTCGGTAAGTGATTGTTATTTGTTTTATCAGCCAATGGATGAAAAGATCAAAACATGGAGTCTTCGTTTTCCCGCTAAAAAATCCTAATATGGAGAAGGCATTGTTCGATTGGCCAATCGTGTTGCAGCGAGTATGATGTCAAAGCGAAGTATTGATTGAGTTCTAGAAAGTTTTTCGGGCATGAAGTTTTTTTCAGCCGAGCGTTCGCTTAATCAACCAAAAGCCACGCGCGTTTGTATCCGTTCGATAAACCAATCAAATCGTTCTATTTCCGTTCGTTTGTTTTTTTTTTTCTGTTTTGTTTGCGCGTTTTCATTTCAAAGGTCATGCGAAAATCGCTCTATTTGGCACAAACAGGATTTAGGGTCAATTTAGGTTTTTGGGAAACCGCCCACCTACCCCTCCCCTAAGCCATCATTTTACCCTCATTAAGAAGTAAGTGTTAATGTTGGCATAGGGGAGGGGTAGGTGGGCAGTTTTCCAGAAACCTAAATTGATGCAGGATTTTTATGTTTCATGCGGATTCACGTGTAATATCACATACTTTAAGTCATGTTGCATCTTATCTCTTATGTAAGAAAATGCCATAAGTATAACCTAAGATAACAATAATTATTCCATATAGAGTTTATCTCATATTTTGTCTGGGCGACGCCCAATCAGGTGACTAGGGCGTGCCACGTTTTTTAGACCCATTTGGCTATGGATCCCCTTACGCTTTTACTTTCATGAAGTACTAGAGGAGTTAAAAAATGAAATTTACACAAATTTTCACTTCGAAAAGGCTCTTTGTTTTGTGATACAGTACGCTTGAATTTGTAAGCTTTTGCGTGACGCAGCATCTCGATGGCGGCCGACAGAGCTGTCATGAAGGTTAAAAAAGTGACTTATTTTGAGGGTTTTGCTATTTAAACGGTCATTTTATTAGGAAAGGTACTGTTTTAATGTTTATGAGTTCCTTGAAAGATGAATGCACCCTTTAATAGCAAACCTCAGTGACAGATGTTTCTGTTAGTTTTCGGTGGCCATGTTGGTGCCCATCCGGATGGGCACCAACATGGCGCCTTCACAGAAAGCGTTCTATTATTTTGGGTAAACAATTTCTTAATGCGAGGGTCTTTCTATATCAACCTCATTCATTTCTCAGATTCTGGAATTTATCGTTTTATTTTTATTTTTGCTAGCGTGACAATGAAAACCAGCCATAATTAAAGGGGTAAGTGGAGTGAATTTGGTCTGAAATCATACATGTGATTTTAAAATCAGATGAGTGCACAGGAAGAGTTCGATTTGATAGCACAAGCATGATTTCAGACCAAAATTTCAGGACACAAAGTCCAATTACAACTTTATTACAGCCATTTTGAAAATCTCAAAACTTAGTGACTGCCAATATTTAATTGATCCAGTTGGTGGTCAGATGAAAGTAAAATCGTGATGCCTTAAAATGTCATTTTGTGTGCGAAACAGAAATGATGCGATTTCTTTCATTTTCATCTGGTATTAAGTTTACGTACTCTATGAACTCGCTCTATGAATTGACTTCTTTCAGTTCCTTTAACGTCTTCCCTTCAGAACTAATGAGCCAGGCCAGTCAATCTAAGCACCGGACTTAGTCAGTAACATCAGATTACTGACATAGTATTGGAATGACTTTTTCTAAGTATCCATATCCATTTACTTCAATTTTCTTTTCAGTCAGTAAGTGTAGTTCAGAGAAGACACAATTTTTCAAAGACCACAAAACGAGTTCAGTAATCACAGCCTTCTGGTGTTGGTGTGGTTTATGTTTATTCGTTCAAGTATTGAGGGGGAGGAAAAAATACAGCAGATCAAGTCACGCCAGGGCTGTAGCCAGAAAAAAAACTATGGCCAAGGTACACAACGAAGTCATCAACTCTCGATCCCTTTCCTTCTTTAAGAAAATGCTAAAGATTAAATTAATAAGTAAATATAAAAAACGATCTTATATCATTTCCAACGCCTTAGACCTTCCGCCGTAGTTTGCATTACTTGATGTAAACAATTATAGAGAATGGTTCAAGGAGGCCTAACCTTCTTATAGTTTGTATTAGGTCTCTTCTCTACTTCTCCTTTTTTCACTTATCTTACAATGTTTGTAGTTTTACTATTGCGTTGCAAATAAATAAATAATTAATAATAAAAAAAGTGGAAGTTTTTTCTATTAATTAAGTACCTTTCTTTATTGCTATAATATCAACAATATAACAATCAAAAAGCAATAATGAGTTTTATCCTTTTTGATTGCTATCTCGTAAACCACGGTACATCCCAGTTAATGACCGGGCTAAAATTTCTTTTAACATAACAAGACCTGACTGGCCCAGACGAGGATTAATTCCCTTCCTTACTCAAACTCAATTCTCAAAACGACTACGCATGTAACCCAATAGTAACATAAGCCAGCTGTGTTCAATTTAAGCAAGTATTCAAGGTATTTTATACGTAAGTACCATAGATTCTAGTTTCTTAACAGATTTAAAAGACGTCTGATTTTTTGCTTTGATGCACTCTGTCTTTCATTAGTACTTGTCTGACGTGTAGAACGTACAACAGTCTCAATTTATGCCATAACACTTCAGTTTTCCAAGGGTGTGGTAGCCTCGTTCATCGTCTCCAGCTTCCCCTGTATCACCAAATCTCAGTTGAATCACAGGAAGTTCAGCCTTATTTGTAAGCAGTTCTTTGTTCTCCCGCGAAACATAATCATTTATGTCAAAATTGCATCCATAGCGCGGGTCTGCGCATGATCGATTTAACCCGCAAGCGTGCATGTAAGAAGTATAATTCCACCCTCCCCAATATGTCATCGCCTTGCCGTCGCGTGATACCCACCAATCATGTATATAACCTATGCTGCCTGGACC